GTGAACTGAGGATGTTGAAAGCTGCTGTAAATTACCACGACTATGAGAAAGACTAATGCTGTGTAGATCAAGGGTGCTGGGTGATTGGCTGGGTTCACTACCTAACTGAGAAACTCTTGCATTCATGTTTTATAGTGCTTTCAGTTCAATTCATACCTTGTTAAAATTACAAATTACAGTATGACACAGACTTTTCAGGGAAGCTCTTGAATAATATATACTTATAAAAAGTAAATGGTAAGCATCCATAGCTCTCTAAAATGTAAACAGCATATCTCTGGGTAGTAGAATTATTGGAGAAGTTTATTTTCTTCTCTGTTGCATTTATTTCACAATTTAAATAAAAAATAAGAAAAATATAGCAGTGAGTGGCTTTTTCCTTAAAGACAAAACAAAAACAGATCACATATATTGAACATATATACTGGGTCTTATATTATACTAGTTGCTTTATGTACATGTATTAGTCTGTTTGAGCTGCTGTAACAAAAATATATAGGCTGGTAGCTAAAACAACAGAAATTTATTTCTCACAGTTTTGGAGGCTGGAAAGTTCTATGATCTAGGTGCTGGCAGATATGGTGTCTATTGAGGGCCCACTTCCTAGTTCATTGAAGGCTGTCTTCTCACTGTGTCCTCACATGTTGGAAGGGGTAAGGGATCTCTGGGGCCTTTTTGTAAGGGTCCTAATTTCATTCATGAGGGCCCCACTCAAAGGCCCTGCCTCTAAATACCATCACATAAGGGATTAGGTTTCAACATTTAGTTTACAGCAGTACATTTTCCATTGAAGCCTTGAAACAATCTTGTGAAGTAGATGTGGTTATACCCAATTTTCAGGTAAGGAAACTATTAGGAAAGATAATGTAACTGCAGACAAGTTACTTATTAAATAGTAAGGCATCAGTGATTGAAATCTTGCCATAGAAATATTCAGGTTGAATGCCTCCCAATCTACATTGATTGTTTTCTTATGTTGGAAGAAGCATGCAAATGGGCAGAACTTTGAAAGATATGGTCATAGAAAAGAGAAGACCTTGGCTTGCTTTGTATTTAAAAAATTCAAGACTTCTTCCATGTAAATTGTCATGAAGTATACCTTTTTAATAAACTTGTTCATTAAAGCATAACATACTACATTGTCATTTGAAATGAATAAATTGAATCCATTGACTCAAAAATGAATTTCTCTAAGTAGACATTGAGAAGCATTCCTACAATATAACAAAAATCCTTTTGGATTTGTGATCTAATCACAGTGGTATTCTCTATGGCCTTAACTCCTGTCTCCTTTTCTTCCATTCTCTTCCTCATATGGGAACAAAGATTGTGATTTTATTTTCTTCTCAAGCAACATTTTCTTCCAAGTGCTGATAACTGTTAAATCTTTCTATAACCCAGTTGCTGTCCTGAATTCCATGTGGGTTTACAGCTGCCTAATGACATCTTTGCGTCAATGTTCTAAAGTTACTGTAAGTCAGAGGGATCCCAGGCCATATCCTTTCTTTTCTTTTTAATGCAAGCACATCCTGTTTGTGTGTTTTTGGTCTTAGTTAATAACTTTCCTTTTTCACTGCCTGAATCTGTTTTGTTACCGGGTCATGAAGATTTGACCTCTAAACTAACATCCTCACAACTTCTGCCCTAAATGGTGCCCTTTCACCTAGTCTCTATTGTTTCAGTAGCGTCATAATTAATTTCTTAGCTTATGTCTTTTTAGTAGATTTATCTTAATAAAAATTATGACTTTATCACTCACTTACTGAAATACTTTTGATGGTTCCTCATTGCTCAAAAGTCAAGGTCCATATAACTTAACCTTCACAGTTTAGCCGCAGTTCCCTCAAGTGAATGAGGCAGAGTATACACTGTATGTTTTTATTTATATATAGTCCTTAAAAATACAAATGATTCTATAGTGACAGGAAGCAGGTCAGTGGTTGACTTGGCTGAAGGTAGATGGGGGAAGGAAAGTGGGACATGAGGAAGGTGGGGCTGATGGAAATATTGATTATCTTGATTGTGGTAATAGTTTCAAAGGAATGTACACATGTCAAAACTTGTCAAATTGAATATGTTCGGTATGTGTATTTTAGTATGCTTAAGTTATATACTTCAGTAAAACCGGTAAGTTTAAGTGCAAGAAAGATGTAGTTCCATGTGCTTATGATATACTTTTCAAAATACCTTTTTAAATGACAAAACAGGATATAGAATAATTGTATAGAAAAATGGAAAGAGTTTAGAGGAGTTAAGATGGCAGAGGATTAGGGGGACCCTAAGTTTGTCTCGTCTCTTGAATACAACTTGATAGTTATCAAACCATTCTGAACACCTGGGAAATCAATCAGAAGTCTGAGAGAACAAAAACTGCAATTCTCCAAGTAGAAAAGTGACCACCTTTTGGAAGGTAGGAAGTACAGAGACTTGAATCCTGTGTGATATAGCTGTGGATATGATGGCGGCAGGGAGAGAGCCTGCTTATGGAAGCTACCACAAAAGTATTATAAGCAGTGGAGTGCAAAATTGGAACTTTTAGAAGTCAGGTACAGTGGGGTAATGTGCCTCGCTTAAAGGTGCTCAGGTGGCAGAGTGGGGTGGAATCCCAGGTGTTATACCGTGGTCTGAAGATCCTCGGGTTGTAGGAAGAATGGGTGGCGCCTAAGTGCTGCACTGTTCTCAGGGATAGGAGCATGGAAGCCGGCTGAGAACAGTGAGTCTAGGTGCCACCTTTCTGCTCTCTATTGCCATAAACCGTGAACTGCTGCGTGGTCATTCAGCTGCTTTTCCTGAGATGGGTCTGCAGAAGCCTGTCAAGACTCTCACCAGGGAATCACTGCAGGTCTGCCATAGGAGTCCCTAAAATTTGGAGTTTTGAAACTCAGGTGCATTCTTGAGATAAAAAAGCTTGGACACAGGCAGGGTGAACACAGAGTTCTGATGGCAACTGGGTAGACAAGAGTGATTGATTGCTCTTCTGTGAGGGTTCCCTGAAGAGTGGGGTAATGCGAATTTTCAGCTCTGGGGCTAAAGTGGGGTGCTACCATATTCATCCCACACGCCCATCAGTACTGAAAGCCTTCAGGGAGCAAAACAGGGCCACCTGGTGGAGTCTGGAGCTGCTTATACCAAGCCCTGCTTCCTTGCCTCCCTCCCACCCCCCCAGGGCAAGTCCACCTGAGAATCAGTGCAACAGGCCCCTCCCCAAGAAGACCAGGACAAACAACTTGCTTACACTAAGTTTACTGATTATAGAGGGCTGCAAAGCTTCAGCTCTAAGGGAAAATAGTATCTAGCCTCCTTTGGACTTTTATTCTTTACTTTTTTTTTCATTTATTTTCTTATTTTTTGCAATTCTTTTTTAAAAGTTGTTTATATTTTTATTTTTGTTTACTTTCATTGCACTTTATTTTTATATTTCTTTGGGATCTAGATTCTTTTATTTTTTTAAGATTTATTTATTTATTTGAGAGAGCAAGCACAAGTGGGGGGAGGGACAGAGGGAGAGGGAGAAGCAGAGTCCCTGCTGAGCAGGAAGCCTGACACGGGGCTCAATCCCAGGACCCTGAGATCATGACCTGAGCTGAAGGCAGAGGCTTAACTGACGGAGCCAGCCAGTGCCCCATCTTCCTTTCTTTTCTGGACAAAATGATGAGACGGGAAAATTCATCCCAGAAGAAAGAATAGCAGGTAGTACTCACAGCCAGAGATTTAATCAGTATAGCTAACTAGAATTTAAAACACGATTACAAGGATACCAGCTGGGCTTGAAAAAAAACATAGAAGACACTAGAGAATCCTTTACTGCAGAGATAAAAGACCCAAAATCTAGTCAGGCCAATTAAAAATGCTCTAACCAAGATGCAGTTCCAAGTGGAGGCCATAAAAATGAGGACAGACGAATCATTGGAGTGAATCAGTGATATAGAAGATAAAATGATGGAAAATGAGGAAGCTGAAAAAAAGAAGGAAACAGGTAATGGATCACAAAGGTAGACTTAGGGAAATCAGTGACATATTAAACTATTATAACATCCGTATCATAGGAGTCCTAGAAGATGTAGGGAGAAAAAAAGGGACAGTTTATTCAAACAGATTACAGCTGAAAACATCCCTAACCTGGCAAAGACACAGACATCAAAATCCAGAAAGCACAGAGAAATCCCATTAAATTCAAAAAGAGCCAAACATCACCAAGGCATATCATAGTCAAATTCACAAAGTAGACAGGGAAAGATTCCTGAAAGCAGCAAGATAAAAAAAGTCCTTAACCTACAAGGGAAGACAGATCAGGTTCCCAGCAGATCTGGCCACTGAAACCTTGCAGGCCAGAAAGGAGTTGCAGGAAATATTCAATGTGATGAGTTGGAATTATTCCAATGTTCCAATATTCAATCCAGCAAGGTTTCATTCAGAATAGAGAGATAAAGAGTTTCCTAGACAAAAAATAAAGGAGATCGTGACCACTAAACCAGCCCTGCAAGAAATACTAAGAGGACCGTATGAGTGGAGAAAAAAAATACCAAAAGGAACAAAGACCAGAAAGGACCAGAGAACATCATCAGAATCACCAACTGTACAGGTAACACAGTGGTGCTGAATTCATATCTTTCAGTAATCACTTTTAATGTATATGGACTAAATGCTCCAATCAAAAGACACAGGATATCAGAATGGATTAAAAAACAAGATCCATCTATATGCTGCCTACAATAGACTCATTTTAGACCTAAAGAACCTGCAGATTGAAAGTGTGGGGAGGGAGGGGATAACCCATCTATCATGCTAATGGATGTCAAAAGAAAGCCAGAGTACCCATACTGAGATGAGACAAACTAGATTTTATTTTTTTTTAAAGATTTTTTATTTATTTATTTGAGAGAGAGAGAGAATGAGAGAGAGCACGAGAGGGAAGAAGGTCAGAGGGAGAAGCAGACTCCCTGCTGAGCAGGGAGCCCAATGAGGGGCTCAATCCCGGGACTCCAGGATCATGACCTGAGCCGAAGGCAGTTGCTTAACCAACTGACCCACCCAGGCGCCCGAGACAAACTAGATTTTAAAACAAAGACTGTAACAAGAGATGAAGGGCATTATATCATAATTAAGGGATCTATCCATCAAAAAGATCTAATAATTGTATATATTCATGCCCCCAACTTGGGAGCACCCAAATATATAAATCAATTAATAATAAACATAAACTCATGGATAATAATACAGTAATAGTAGGGAACTTTTACACCCCACTTACAGCAATGGACATTAAGCAGAAGATCAACAAGGAAACAAGGTCTTTGAATGATACACTGAACCAGATGGACTCAACAGATACTTTCAGAGCATTTCATCCTGAAGCATCAGAATACACATTCTTTTTGAGTACATACAGAACATTCTCCAGAACAGATCACATACTGGGTCACAAATCAGCCCTCAACAAGTATAAAAAGATTGAGGTCATACCATGCATATTTTCAGACCACAATGCTCTGAAACTTGAAGTCAGCTATAAGGAAATATTTGGAAAGACCACGAATACATGGAGATTAATGAGCGTCCCACTAAAGAATGATTGGGTTAACCAGTAAGTTAAAGAAGAAATAAAAAAGTACATCGAAGCAAATGAAAATGAAAACACCTTTGGGATGAAGCAAAGGCAGTTTTAAGTTGCAATACAGTCCCACCTCAAGAAGCAAGGAAAGTCTCAAGTACACAACCTAAAGTTACACCTAAAGGAGTTAGAAAAGGAGCAGCAAATGAAGCCTAAAGTCAGCAGAAGAAGGGAAATAATGAAGATTAGAGCAGAAATTAACTATATAGAAACAAAAAAACAGTAGTACAGATTAATGAAACTAAGAGCCAGTCTTTGAAAGAATTTATAAAATTGATAAACCCTTAGCTAGACTTATCAAAAAAAAAAGAGAGAGGACCTAAATAGATAAAATCATGAATGAAAGAGGAGTCATAACCATCACCACAGAAATACAGTTATAAAGAGAATACTGTGAAAAATTATGTGCCAACAAACTGGGCAACCTGGAAGAAATGAACAATTTCCTAGAAACCTACAAACTACCAAACTGAAACAGGAGGAAATAGAAAATTTAAACAGCTGCATAACCAGCAAAGAAATTGAATCAGTAATCAAAAATCTCTCAACAAGCAAAAGTCCAGTGTCGGATGGATTCCCAGGGGAATTCTACCCCACATTTAAAGAAGAGTTAATACCTATTCTCCTCAAACTGTTCCAAAAAAGAAAAAAAAATGGAAAGAAAACTTCCAAACTCATTCTGCGAAGTCAGCATGCCTTGACCCCAAAACCAGACAAATACCTCACTAAAAAGGAGGATTACAGGCCAGTATCCCTGATGAACATAAATGTAAACATTCTCAATTAAATACTAGCAAATCGAATGCAACAGTACATTAAAAGAAGTGGGATTTATTCCTGGGCTGCAGGTGTGGTTCAACATCTGTAAATCTCCCCAGTGTCTAGACACTGGGGAAGGTATGTGCTATGGTGAGTGCTGTGAATTGTGTAAGACTGTTTAATCACAGATCTGTACCTCTGAAATAATACATTATATGTTAAAAAAAAAAAAGCAGGAGGGGAAGAATGAAGAGGGGGAAATCGGAGGGGGAGATGAACCGTGAGAGACTATGGACTCTGGAAAACAAACTGAGGGTTCTAGAGGGGAGGGGGGTAGGGGGATGGGTTAGCCTGGTGATGGGTATTAAAGAGGGCACATTTTGCATGGAGCACTGGGTGTTATACGCAAACAATGAATCATGGAACAGTACATCAAACACTAATGATGTAATGTATGGTGATTAACATAACATAAAAAAAAAGAAACAGCATTCACTGGAATTTAAATAAAAACTTTTTTAAAAAGCAAAAAAACCCCTAAAAACTGAAAAACATCTGCAAATCTATGAACATGATATACCACATGGGGGCGCCTGGATGGCTCAGTTGTTAAGTGTCTGCCTTTGGCTCAGGTCATGATCCCAGGGTCCTGGGATTGAGCCCTGCATCGGGCTCCCTGCTCTGCGGGAAGCCTGCTTCTCCCTCTCTCACTCCCCCTGCTTGTGTTCCCTTTCTTGCTGTGTCTCTCTCTGTCAAATAAATAAATAAAAAATCTTTAAAAAAAATTAAAAAACACATGATATACCACACTAATAAAAGAAAGGATAAAAACCCTCAACAAAATAGGGATTGATGGATCATACCTTAACATCATAAAGGCCATATACGAAAGACCCACAGCTAATATCATCCTCAGTGGGGAAAAAACTGAAAGCCTTTACCCTTTGGTCAGGAACAAAACAAGGATGTCCACTCTCAACATTACTATTTAACATAGTACTGGAAGTCTTAGCCTCAAGAATCAGACAACAAAAAGAAAAGGCATCCAAGTTGGCAAGGAAGAAGTCAAACTTTCACTGTTTGTAGATGACATGATACTCTGTAGAAAGCCTGAAAAGACTCAACCAAAAAAATTGCTAGAACTGATACCGGAACTCAGCAAAGTCGCAGGATATAAAGTGAATGTGCAGAAATTTGTTGCATTTCTATACACAAATAATGAAGCAGCAGAAAAAGAAATCAAGGAATCGATCCCATTTGCTATTGCACCAAAAACAATAAGATACTTAGGAATAAACCTAACTAGGGAGGTAAAAGATCTGTACTCTGAAAACTACAGAACACTTATGAAAGAAATTGAAGAGGACACAAAGAAATGGATAAATATTCCATGCTCATGGATTGGAAGAACAAATATTGTTAAAATGTCTCTACTACCCAAAGCAATCTACATGTTTAATTGAACCACTATCAAAATCCCACCAGCTTTTTCACAGAGCTACAACAAACAATCCTAAAATTTGTTTGGAACCACAGAAGACCATGAATAGCCAAAGCAATTGTGAAAAAAAAACAAAACTGGAGGCGTCATGATTCCAGATTTCCAGCTATATTAGAAAGATGTAGTCATCGGGCGCCTGGGTGGCTCAGTTGGTTAAGCAACTGCCTTCGGCTCAGGTCATGATCGTGGAGTCCCGGGATCGAGTCCCACATCGGGCTCCCTGCTCAGCAGGGAGTCTGCTTCTCCCTCTGACCCTCCTCCCTCTCATGCTCTCTGTCTCTCGTTCTCTCTTGCAAATAAATAAAATCTTAATAAATAAATAAATAAAATAAAATTGCACTAAAAAAAAGATGTAGTCATCAAGACAGTATGGTACTGGCATAAAAACACATAGATCAATGGAACAAAATAGAGAACCCAGAAATGGATCCACAACTATATGGTCAATTACTCTTTGACAAAGTAGGAAAGGAATATCCCATGGAAAAAAGTCTCTTCAACAAATGGTATTGGGAAAATTGGACAGCCACGTGCAGAAGAACTGGACCACTTTCTTACACCGTACACAAAAATAAATTCAAAATGGATGCAAGACCTAAATGTGAGACAGTAAACCATCAAAATCCTAGAGGAGAACAGAGGCAGCAATCTCTTTGACTCCAGGCACAGTCATTTCTCATTAGACATCTAGCCGGAGGCAAGGGTAACAAAAGCAAAAATGAACTATTGGGATTTTTCAAGATAAAATGCTTCTGCACAGCAAAGGAAACAATCAACAAAACTAAAAGGCAGCCCACAGAACGAGAGAAGATATTTGCAAACAACATATATGATAAAGGGTTAGTGTCCAAAATCTATAGCAAACTTACCGAACTCAACACCCAAAAAACAAATAATCTAGTTAAGAAATGGGCAGAAGACATGAATAGACACTTTCCAAAGATGACATCTGGATGGCTAACAGACAAATGAAAAGATTTCAACATCACTCATCATCAGGAAAATACAAATCAAAATCATGATGAGACGCCACCTCCTGTCAGAATGGCTAAAATTAACACAAGAAACAAGTGTTGGTGAGGATGCAGAGAAAAGGGAACCCTGTTGCATTGTTGGTGGGAATGCAAACTGGTGCAACCACTCTGGAAAACAGTATGGAGGTTCCTCAAAAAGTTAAAAATAGAACTACCCCATGGTCCAGCAGTTCCATTCCTAGACTCTATACCCAAAGGATACAAAAATACAGATTCAAAGGTGTACATACACTGTTTATAGCAGTATTATTGGCAATGGTCAAACCATGGAGAGACCCCAAATGTCCATCAACTGATGAATGGATGAAGATGTAGTATATATATACAATGGAATATTATTCAGCCCTCAAAAAGAATGAAATCTTGCCTTTTGGAATGATGTGGATGGAGCTAGAGTACATTATGCTAAGTAAAATAAGTCAGAGAAAGACAAATACCATATGATCTCACTGATATGTGGAATTTAAGAAAAAAAAATGAACGTATGGGAAGGGGGGGAAAGCAAAAAAGAGAGGGAAACAAGTCATAAGTGACTCTTTGTAGAGAACAAATTGAGGGTTGCTAGAGGGAGGTGGGTGGGGAATCAGCTGGATGGGTGATGGGTATTAAAGTGGGCAGTTGTGTGATGAGCACTGGGTGTTGTATGTAAGTGATGAATTACTGAATTCTACTCCAGAAACCAATATTGCACTGTATGTTAACTAACAGAATTTAAATTAAAAAAAAAACAAAAAAGAAAGAAATGGAAAGAGTATGTGTTTCTATGGACTATCTCCAGAGTGGTAAGAACTTATTTTTACTGAATAACCTTGTATGCTATTTTGAATTTTGAATCAAGTACATTATTGCTTGCATTAAAAAATGTTTTCTAAAAGGACATTCTGTAGTAGTATCTAGCATATATTGAGAACTTTAACAAACCAGTAAGGAAAAGACATAGCCCAAATGAAAATCAGGTCATGAGTAGGAAAGGGAAACCTGAATGGCTACTAAGCATGAGAAAAGATGCTCAGTCTCACTAGTAGTATGGGGAGTGTAAATTAAAAATAAAATACTACATATTAATGAGATTACCAAAACACTAAAAGGAAGGTCATGGTGCCC